CTTCGAGTCGGCCTCTTATGATCGAAAAAAGGACGTGCCCTTACCGACTTGAAAAAGATTACTTTTTCCGACAATTTTATATGGTACGTGGGCAATTAAGACAAACCAACCGAAGTTCAGCCTTAATATCCTGCCCCCCCGAACGGTGTGGCGGGGGTCGGTTTCCCTGCGTATGCCGGCAACCATTTACTGTTGTCTGATTGGCTGTAGGAATCGCAGCTCTGACTATAAGTAATTGCCATATTTCTACGTTCTTTATAGAAAATTAGTATGTCTGACTGGTCATATGCACATTGTTTGTCTTCTTTTCCTTGCACGGAGGATAACCTCCTACTCTTATACTTGGTTACTGCAATGTTGCCCGTGGTCTTTAAATATGTATACTTATATACCTACTACATCTACCTTAGTAAGCGCAGTTATGCTTCTTACTGCACTCACCAACACGAAAATCTTTAACTTCTCGTGATTACTTTTATTTTTGATTTAGTTTTTGGTTGATTAGTTAATTTTAGTTATAGATTTAGTTATTATAATTTTTAATCCAGTTAAATTTTTATCCGACATGGGAATGTTTTTCGGCTTATCGTACTACAATATCTTTCCAAATGCATTAGAAGCTATTATGAGTTTTTTTTAACGGGTAAAAACCAACCTTTTAATCTCTAAATTTCGATATTGGTGTATAGCCTATATGCCTATTTAGTGTGTAGCCTTTTGTGCAGTTCTTTTTGCCTATTGCATATATTTTTCCTTATTCTATGGTGCCAATATTTCGGTTATTCAAATAATTATTTCCTATTCTGCTTTTATGCACTCTACTTTTTGATTTTTTTATTTCCTGTAATATGACCAAACCAAAAAACCCCTATTAATACTGTTCCCGTAAGACAGAATTCTGGAGCTAAGGATATCTAAGGGCCTCGGCCAACTTTATTGGTACCCTGTGCTTTCTTCTGCAGCTGGCCTATTACGTTCTTTGGGCTGACCTTGATGGAGACCGTCTTCGAAAGCAAACCGAATTGAAACAGAAGACAGACGCCATCCTCGATCGCATACCAGAGGGTAGGGTTTGCTTACGACGTTTTCATATGCCGCTTTTTAAGAACAGGGTAGTTAATAACGGTTATTTAATTACGAAATGTTCCGAGATCTGAGATTATTTAACCGGAATAGTGACCGCCATAATTTGCCTGCTCATTGCACGGAAGCTGACCGCATTCCGTTTTACCATCTGTAGGTAATATAATTTGTTCTCTTGAATCATATTACTCCTTTTTCTGTGCTAAAACGTGATTGTTTTAAAGACTAAGACACCACTACCGTCAGTGATTTGACTGCAAGTGAGTCTGCTACTGAAACTTTCTCCAACTGTACCGACTCGCCCTTTTTGTGATTATCTGATTATCATTACTAGGAATCGGAAACTCGTGAGATTTAGCGTTCCAGTCCCCTACTTGTCAACTTTTCTCATCGACTAATGATGGCTTTTCGTTAAGGCAACGCTTGCTAGCGTCCTGGCTTCGGACCGTGATGCATGGGTTTGTGTTTGGACTTGCTAACTCAGGTTCGATCATCATGTTCTCGTGGCTCAAGGTTCCATTGTCCCCGACGACTGGCAAATAATTCTTAAGTGATTGTCCTGATTTTATTGCCGAACTTTTTGGTCACGAATTATCGGGATTATCAGTAGCGTTTTCATTTAAGGCCGAGTAGTACTTGATACATCTCTAAAATATACCATCTTTGAGATATTGTTCATAACTACTTATATAATGACAGTAATAATTTATATTTGCATAACTATTGGCTGAATGGTGACAATTCATTCATAACTATGACCTGTTGCTCTTCTAAAGAACAACTGAAAAGCATTTGATGAAGCTTACTATTTGAGTATGCCAGCCGTAAAAGTCAACACTTACAGCAATTTTCTTCCCTCCATTTTTTAGACTCATGGGACTATCGCATATACGGATCTGATCGCGATAAACCCGTTCAGTTGCAAAGAACGATGTTGACTAATCATGCACTGCCCTACACGGAGACAACCTCGTCTTCCGTTGCCAAGTCAGAAGGAGGCAGCTCCCTCACAGAGATCAAACCAAATCGCAGGTCTCTAACGGCCTCCAGCCAGCGCAGTCAGACGATACATCGCAAACGGGCGCTCTGGTTAGCCCTGAGAAACCAAAATCAACATCTCACCCATCTCCCGGAACAGTTGACACGACACGAACAGGCGGAGGGCACAATCTTTGCCCTGGGAGTGGTCGGCCCCGTTGCGGATGCG